AGAAGAAGAAGAAGAAGAAGAAGAAGAAGAAGAAGAAGAAGAAGAAGCTTATCTTCCTTAGGACATGTTGGGGTCCCAATCATTGGCCAGGCTCCTAGGGATTTTGAGAACTGTCTGTCATCCACCCCATCTGGACGGCACTAGGTTGGGGAAGGTTTGATTAAGTACATGTATCACATCACAACCCCATTCTATCTCCATCGGAGGAGAGCTTGTTCTCTTCATTATCTTAATCCTCATTTGACTAATGTATGCAATTTCCTAAATCAGAAAAGGAGATCTCAACAGAAGATTGCTCCAGGGGACAAGCTTCTGCTTTCATGCTCAATTTTTAAAATATATACTTTGCCTTGCTTTCTGTTCCTCCAGGAATCTGACACTGCATGAGGCTACCACTGTATGATTTGCAGCCGTTATGCTGTTTTTATATGAGGTATTGCTGTATGGGTTTTATTTTGTTGCATATAATAATGTGTTCATTTTAGTTAGGCTAGTCACTTAGGAATGGTTCGCATGTCATGGGTTTAGAAATATTTGAAATAAGTATGGTAAACAAAACCACTGTTTTAGGGAATAAGCCTCTGGTTTAGGGAGTAAAAAAATCTTTATGTTTTGAAGATATCTGAAATTATAGGACAGATTTATTTCTTTGTTTATTTGCTGAAGTTCTAAGACATTGCCTTTTCCTCAGGTCTTCTTGCTCAAGTGCAAATATTCTTTACATTATCAAATGAGTCAGATTTTCCTCTGCCTACCTAATTATCTCCCCCCCTTATTCTTATGTATTATATTTGAAGACAAAACAATACACTGCTTAGTCATGTTGAACAGTTTCACCAGCCGTTCTTTTGATGATAATGCCCTGAATTAGCTATGCTTCATTTAAAATTCCATCCACTGATTGCCTCCTGTCCCCACCACCATCACCACTTTCCTCCCAGGCCAGTACTTTGAAATATGGCTTACTAGAGGTTTAAGGTAAAGTACTTCTGTTCTGAGCCCTTGCCAAAACCATTAAAAATATTTGCTGCATAGTTATAGCTTGTGTTGTCTCCCTGGAGAAATGATATAAAAGTAAATTACATGGAAGTGTTGCATGCAAAGGACTTTATTAACCAATTCTTCTTCTACCAGCATTTCTTTAAATTGCTTATTGGGGACAGCAGACTATTAGATATGTGTTTGAGCTGAAATATAATAAGTGTCTAACATTCCCAGTAAATGAAGCAAGTGGTATTTTAATATGCAAATGCATGTGTTTTGCAAATTAGTTAGGAGGGAGAACTGGCCATTGTCTGAGGCCCAAGTACCTCATGAAAAATGCAATACTACCCTTGGATCCTCCCCACCAAACTCAAGCTGTAGTTACAATAAGCAAACCACCTGGGGTCAGATTTTGAGACCCCAAATGCATTAAGGTGCAAATACATGAATTTCTATGAATTACCCACAGACTGTTGAAAGTAGTTGAGCTACACTGTTGGCAGATTGGAGGCTTAGAAAGAGGACTGGGGACTGCATATGAAGAACGGTTGCAGGAAATGGTCATGTCTAATTTAATGAAAAGAAGGACTAGGAGGGACAGGATATCATGTTGCAATATTTAAGGGGCCACCAGAAAAAAGAAGGGATCAATCTATTCTCCAAAGCAGCTGAGAACAAGACAAGAAGCAATGGATGGACACTAATCAAGGAAACAACCTAGAACTAAGGAGAAATTTTCTGACAGTGAGAACAATAAATCAGTGGAACACCTTGCCTCCAGAAGGTGTGGCTGCTCCATCACTGGAGGTTTTTAAGAAGAAATTGGACAACCCTTTTTCTGAAATAGTATAAGGGTTGAGCAGGGGTTGGAGTAGAAGACTCTGTTTTTCTGTTATTCTATTCAGGGAGCCTAAACTGCACAAGGGAATTGAGAAAAGTGTTGAAGAGGAAAAAAATTATCCTACTAGAGATTTTAGTAAGATTTTGGAAGTATGGTGTGTGTATGTATGTGTAAAGATTACAGACGGAGCGTTCTCCTTAGGCATCCACTGGTTGGGGGCTGGGAGGAGCAGGGGTAAATGATCTTGTTGAGCATATGATATAAATAATGGCATTTGTAAATTATGTAATTTGCTTCAGTGACATCACATGCATGATATCACCATGCTTTTTACTGAACACCTTTGGGAATACGTATCCTGAAATTAACAATTTACTTTTCCTGTAGTATCTGATGAAGTTTCAAGAAAGAAAAGGGAGAAAGAATAATCCTCCCACACCCATTCTGCCAAAGGTTTTCATCTGCATCTCAAATACTTTAAAAATAGGTTTGCATGTTTATTTCCAAGATTCCCACTATAATCAGAAGAAGAAGAAAAGAAACTTTAGGATCATCTTGGGTGCTTTCCGTGTAGTCTAGATTTCTACATGTGCCACATTGGGGAAGTAATCTCTTTTAGCCTGGTCAGGTATTCAAAACAACAGTAATGGCCAGGACTGCTAGCTCCATCTTTTTATAATGTTACATTAACAGTATCTTGCAAAACCAGAGGTATTTATCTTCTCCTCTACTCTCTGGAAAATTAGGGGTGGTCCCTTCTGAAACATTCTCCACATCATCCCTCCTTCTATGGGATGAGAAACCTTTTGCATGCTGGTTGTCCCATCTGTGGCTCTTCTTCCTGCTTCTCAAAATCATTCCCACATGCATTACATAATCACTCATATGAACCCCAACCCAGCCTCTATCTTTCCATAGACTAATGCACATGTAACTCCCCAGGCACACATGTATATATAACTGTTGGAAGAAATACCAAGGTCTAATTCCAACCCGGGAGAAAGGCACTGGAGACAAAATGGAGGCTAGAGGCTGATTGGAAAGAGGGTCCGTTTATCGATGAAGCAGAAGCACGAAGCATGTGTAATTCTGTGCAGCTGACCAGATGGAGTTGAGAGTGGGAGACTTTTATATCTTCTATTGGCTGTTGTCAGACTCCCATGGGGCCATGTACAAATCCTAGAACTTTGACTGAGCTAAGTTTGGTTGAAGTTTGGAGGGTGATACAATAATTCCTATTATGGCTATTAAGTATGGGAAATAAGAGGCTGAACCAGGGCTTAGTGCAACAAGGTTTATTTACAAGGGCTGAACGTGCTTGCTCAGCCTGGGACTGGCTCGCAGCGAACAGCTCAAGGGCTGGACCCAGCAGCCTGCTTTTATAGCAGGCTGCTGGGGAAACCCAGCCAATGAGGAGGGGCAGCCGCCCCCGCAGCGCGAACGGACCTTGGTGGGAACTTCTTCAAGGTCCAGGGACATAACACCCCTTCCCCCCAGATGCGAACACGCATAGTCCTTGAGGTATACGGGAGGCTTGTGCTGACGCCCAGAGCGGTGCAACTCTGGTGTGCTGTTCAGTGGATCAGAGTCCGTTGGCGACTGTTGGCTCGATGATGAGTCCCGAGTACCACCCTCGGTCGGAGTAGGTCCGGGGTCAGTAGGGCTGGACGCTGGGAGTGTCCTCACGCCGTCTGGCTCGGATGGGTTGGACGCTAGGTCGCCGCAGTCATCATTTGGATTCTCTGGTCCGGCTGGAGACGTTAGCAGGTCATCGGAGTCGATGTCGCTGTGTGGAAGTTGCAGCGGACTCTCACCGGTCTGTGCCCCCGAGTCGCGGCTGACAAGGGTGCCCTGGCGTCTCCGAAGCTGGTCCAGATGTCGTCTCCAGACCCGGCCATCTTCCAGCTTAACCCGGTATGATCTGGGTCCTGTGATGGCTACGATTTCTCCTGGGATCCACAATGGGTCGCCAGCGAAGTTTCTCGCGAACACGGGTTCCTGCAAGACAAAATGCCTACTCCCCGATGTGGAAGCGAGAGGAGAGTCAGGGCAGTAATGTGGGTGGAGCCTGTCCAATACAGTTCGCAGGCGTCTGCCCATCAGAAGCTCGGCCGGGGACTTGTTGGTTACTGTGCAAGGGGTTGAATGCTGGCTTAACAGGAAACAGGATAGTTTGTGGTGCCAGTCATCCTTGTTGAACCTGGCCAGGGCTTCTTTAGTGGTCCTAACAGCTCTCTCTGCTAGCCCATTACTGGCAGGATGAAAGGGGGCCGTGAAGATGTGACGAATGCCCAGGTTGGCCGTAAAACGACTGAATTCGGTTGACGCGAATTGGGGACCATTGTCGGAAACAATGGAGTCTGGTAGACCGTGCGTTACGAACAGGCGAGTCAATGCCTTGATGACTGCTTGTGAAGTGGTCGTGGATAGTTGTGCCACATCAATCCACTTTGAGTAAGAGTCTACGACCACGAGGAACATTTTGCCATGCAATGGGCCCGCGAGGTCGATGTGAATCCTGGACCAGGGTGCGTTGGCACTTTCCCACTTGGTGGGGGTGGCAATTGGAGGGGATGGACGGGAAACCTGGCAGGGATGGCAGGAGCTTACCCATTTGTTGATGTCCTCATCAAGGCCGGGCCACCAAATGTAGCTTCGCGCCAACGCCTTCATTCTGACGATGCCAGGGTGGCCTTCGTGCAACGCCTCCAGCACTCGGGTACGCAGAGATGTCGGGATGACCACTCGAGTGCCCCATAGCAGGCAGCCCTGTAAGCTCGACAGTTCCTGTAAGCGGGTCTTAAATGGCGTGAATTTAGCTTCAATGTCACTGCCCGGCCACCCCCTCCTCACCCAGTCCAGTACCTGGGCGATCGTTTTGTCCGTTTTGGATTTACTGGCAATATCAAGGGCAGTGATTGGGAGGTCCAGTTGGGTGACTTCAAAAATGGCGTTGACCGGGGCAGGGTCTTCAGCTGGGTCAGGCAGGGGGCAGCGGCTAAGAGCGTCTGCGTGGGACAATGTTTTACCCGGGCGGTGCACAAGTCTATACGAGTATGCTGCTAGGAAAAGGGTCCATCTGGTCATTCTGGGGGACAGAATTTGAGGGGTCTGCTTGTCACCTGCTAGTAACCCTAAAAGCGGTTTGTGGTCGGTGACTAGCTCGAAAAAGTGGCCAAAGAGAAATTCGTGAAATTTCTTCACCGCTGTAACAGCTGCCAAGGCTTCTTTATCAATTTGACTGTAATTGCGCTCTGTTGCAGAGAGCGTCCTGGAAAAAAAAGCGATAGGGGCCTCGGAGCCGTTGGGCAGTCTGTGACTTAAAACTGCCCCAATGCCGAAAGGAGATGCGTCTGCGGCCAGTACTAATGGGAGGTTGGGGTCAAACTGGATAAGCACTGCCTCTGATGTGAGTAGCGACTTGACTGCGCGGAAAGCGGAGTCTTCTTTGTGTCCCCAGTGCCAAACCGTTTTTTTATCCAGAAGTCTGTGGAGGGGTTCTGCCACAGAGGCTTTATGGGGCAGGAACGACGCGTAAAAGTTCAAGAGCCCCAAAAAGGCCTGCAGTTCCGCTTTGGAGGTTGGAGTGGGTGCCTCGTGTATTGCCTTAACCTTGGACTCCAGGGGGTGAATGCCTGAGGCGTCAATTTTATAACCCAGAAAGTCCACCTGTCTAGTGGCAATGGCACATTTTTCTTTTTTTAACTTGAGGCCATGCTGCCTGAACCTCTCCAGGACTGCTCTAACTCTCTGGAAGAGTTGGGGTCTGTTCCTGGCCGAGACTAAGATGTCATCGAAGTAGGGTACTACTCCAGGAAGGCCCTGTAAAATCCGCTCCATGAGGGATTGAAAAATGCCTGGGGCAACACTTACGCCAAACTGGAGACGCTTGCACCGGAAAGCACCCCTGTGGGTGACAATGGTCTGAAGTTCTGCCGTTTGGTCATCAACAGGGAACTGTTGATATGCTTGAGACATGTCCAATTTGGCAAAGATAGTGCCAGGTTCAAAAGTATGTAATAAATGCTGAATGACGGGTACTGGATAAGCGCTAACTTGCAAGAATTTATTGATTGTGGTCTTGTAGTCTGAGAAAATTCTCAGGCTACCATCTTTTTTTAGGGGTGTGACGATGGGCGTCTCCCATTTGGCGAAGTCTGTAGGCTCCAGGATCCCTTGTTTTAATAATTTATCTAATTCAAGGTCTAATTTAGGCCGAATGGCGAATGGAACTCTGCGAGGTTTTAACCGAATTGGGACTGCCTGGGGATCGACTGAAAATGAGATAGGGGTGCCATTATAACACCCTAACTCATCACTGAATACGTCTGAGTAATCAGCAAACAGGGAGTCCATGTCAGAGGTTGAGGTAGCATGGACTCCTGTTAGACCTAACCCGAGGTGGGGAAACCAATCAAGTCCCAAAAGTGTAGGGAGGTTGCCGCTCACTACCACTAGAGGTAGGTGGCCCTTAAAGGTTTTAAAATTAACAAAAAACTTGCCTCTGCTGATTACAGGAATGGTCTTCCCCTGGTAGTCCTTTAGGCTAAGCTGGCACTTCTGGAGTCGGCTTCTTGATAGGCTGGGTTGAAGCTCCTTGAGGGTGTTCCAGGAAATAATGGAGAGCGCTGACCCCGTGTCAACCTCCATGTTGCAAGGTTTACCTTCTAATAAGACGGAAAGAGAGATTTTACTAATAGAATAGCAAGTTTGATTAGTGCGGCAGTTTAATACTTGCCTTTTGGGTCCGGCATGTGCGAATGAAGATGCCCTTTGTGCTGCGTTGTGTGAGGCTTGGCATACTCTTGCAATGTGCCCCTTCTTATGGCAGTTGTTGCAAGTGGCTCCTTTGAATTTGCATGTGGTCCTCAAGTGGGGTCCACCACAGGAAAGGCACAACGTGATGTGCTTGGATGGCCCAGTGTTATCCTGTCTGGTTCCTACCTGAGGGCGCCTGGCGTTTGTGAGGCGGTGAATGTCGGCCTCGTCACTCGGGTCTTCCTCATTGATCACCTCTTCTGAGTGGACGGAAACTGCTGTTTGCTTGGTGACAGAACCTTGGATCTCGGTGGCTGAATGAGATGCCAGCTCCTCTGCCAGGGCTTCCTCGATGGCTTGAGCGAGGTTAAGGTCTTTTTTGGCGAGCAGCCGTCTTTGTAGGCGCGGGTCCTTGACCCCACAGACCAGCTGGTCTAGGAGCATGTCATCAAGGTAGCTGCCAAACCCACAATGGAGTGCTGCAGTCCTGAGAGCAGCCATGTACTGATTGATGCTCTCTTTGTCCCCCTGCTTCCTCATTCTGAAGGTGAAACGTCTGGCAATCTGTGAAGGTCTAGGAGAATAGTGGTTAGTAAGGATTTCTAACAGTTCTGTCCAGGGGACATTTTTTAACTCACGTGGAGCCACAAGAGCTGTGGCTGTATCGAAAACGATGGCTCCACAGTAGGTCAGGAAATGTGCTTTCTTTCGGTGTTCCCCTGCCTCAGCCAATCCGATGGCGTCGATGTAATAATTAAATCGATTCTTGTATGATTCCCACTTCTCCTCATCTGGCTTGAATGCTGGGAAGGCTGGATTGGCGTTCATGTTGTAGGTCTGCTGGTTAACCTGTTGGGGAAAAAATGCTCTCTCTCTGGGTAGCAGTAGAGGTTTGGTGCCTGTGCTAGGCAAGTGCTCTCTCTCTCTGGGGTAGCAGTAGAGGTTTAGTGCCTGTGCTAGGCAAGTGACTTCAGCTCTGGTGAAATTTCGCAATTCCCTTCTCTCTCTCTGGGGATCAGAAGGTGTTTAGACTGCAACGGTCGTTGGTAGCGTCTTTTGAAATTCGCGCCTGTGTGGGCGTTAGTGACTTCGTAATACAACGCTGTGTTGTATTTGAATGTGCTTCAGCTGACAGCTATTCGAATTTCGCGCCTAAACGGCACGAGCGGCTGCGGCTCGCAGCGCTTCTCACTCTCGCTGGCTTGTTCACTGATCGCTTTCTCTCTGGGCTGCGATCAGCGTTTGCCCTATTTTAGCTGACCGCCCTCTCTCTGGGCTGCGGATCAGCGTTATAGTGATTCAGCGTTCGTTCTCATTTCGGGCTGATCGCTCTCTCTGGGTTGCGGTCAGCGCTTGCCCTATTTTGGCTGATCGTTCTCTCTCTCTGGGCTGCAGATCAGCATATTAGTGATTCAGCGTTGCAGCTTGCCTCTGGTAGCCATCCCATCCTCGTCGCCAGTATTAGGTATGGGAAATAAGAGGCTGAACCAGGGCTTAGTGCAACAAGGTTTATTTACAAGGGCTGAACGTGCTTGCTCAGCCTGGGACTGGCTCGCAGCGAACAGCTCAAGGGCTGGACCCAGCAGCCTGCTTTTATAGCAGGCTGCTGGGGAAACCCAGCCAATGAGGAGGGGCAGCCGCCCCCGCAGCACGAACGGACCTTGGTGGGAACTTCTTCAAGGTCCAGGGACATAACAATGGCTTAATGGCTTTCCCATGTGTTGGCTCTTGGGTGAGGGCTAATTTGTTCAGACTTTGCTGCAGGCAGTAATGAATGACCAAATCTGCATTTTTAAAAGCTGCCCCAGCTCAGTATCTGTCTGGGGGCAGAGGGCTGGTACTCTGAATTTCTGTCTCCCTTAAGATTTTTAAAATTTCTCTTTTAAGGAAAATATCTTACCCTGCCTTTTTAAAATATTCCTCAAAATATTTCATTTCTTCTAGGAGTGTGGTGGCTTCCCACATTACCATCCAAAAGATATGCAGATTTTGTAATTGAGGACCATGTGCTTTGAAGACAAAAAAATTTAAGTCTCAGTGCAAACAGTAACTAAGTAAGAACATTAAGACAACTGTGCCTGGATACAAGTAGTTGGATTCCAGATTCTTCGTATGTGTATAGGAGCCTAATCTGGCAGTGCAGTCCTTGTAACGGTCACATACTAGTATCTAATTCAGGAGTTGAAGGTCAACAAAATGGAGAGGACTGGGTTAGAAAAGACTGTGCATACTTTTCAAAATGTACAGCATGTAACAAACTTTGTAAAATTTTATTTTACAGCTGTCGAGAAATTTTATCTACAGCATCTGTCTCTCATTAAATAGGAAGATTCTTACTTGGCCAGCAACACCCTTGCCTCTAATCATGTGATACTAGAAGCCTTGATTAAAAAAAAAAGTGCCATTTTTGAGATTAGGGTTCCATTAAAAAGCTGCCCTGACAAAGCGATCTGCTATCTTGTTGAACAGGCTTACTAATCTGCCCTCCAGATGTGATTGATTTCAATTTATTATGGTAACTAAAGCCCCCATGCATTTTGGAGGCTGGTAAAAGCTGCCAAAGAAGAACATAAGATTTAAGACATGGACTCCTTCTTAATTAGTTCTTTAGTACGAATTTGTCAGTAAATTATGCAAGTAATGTGAAAGCATGTTGAAAAATCCTGGGGACCTGATTTTGTTTCTTGTCCTACTTTGTGTTTTCTACCATGCTGAACCCATGCTGGAAACAGACTCTCCCTGCCTGTCAATCGAACAATCCTGCCTAAGATGGCATTTTTTCTCAAAACCCAGAGCTTTCTTCAAGGACACCATTCTAACCCCATTTG